CCCCTTTATCCCTTTGCCATTAACCTAAGTGAGTCTTAAGTGGGTTTATTGTGGACAAAATATGAGGGGTCTTCAAAAAATTCATGGAAAGATTTGCATTGTCTTTTAATTCCATTTTTCCATGAAAATATTGAACTACCCTCGTACAGTTGGGCCGTGTGTGTGTGTGTGTGTGTGTGTGTGTGTGTGTTTGTGTTACACTACTTTGAAAATCTCTTTTAGTTTGTGTTTTCAGACCATTCACACTTAAAGTGTTTACTGCTATAGTTGGATTAATATCTATCATGTTCGTAACTGTTTTCATAGCTTTGTTCTTTATTTATTTTTAATACCTTTTTTTCCCTGCCTTTTCTGGTTTTAACTGAATAATTTATGTCATTTCATTTGCTGTCCTTTAGCGTGTCAACTATACTTTTTAAATAAAATTTTGTAGTTGCCCTAGTGTTTGCAATATAAATTTTAAATTAATCTGTGTTCACCTTCAGATAATACTATACTGCTTCACATGAAATGTGGTATCTTATTTTTATTTCTTCTAATTTTTAAAAATTGAAACATAATTGATTGTATGTATCTGTGGGGTACAGAGTTGCATATCAATACCTGTGTGCAATATGTGATGCTCAAGTCAGGATAATTGGTATATTCAATGTTATACAATGTAATTGTTTTTCACGGCCTTTATCACTTTCTTCCTTCCCCCCTCACACTTCCCAAAATGCAGGTGTCTTATAACAGTATTCCCAAGTCCTCTCTCCTGTCTTTCCTGACATTGCTGTCATTCATTTCACTTATCCATGTGCTGTACTCACCCAGTACATTTTTTACTATTATTATTACTTTAAACGTTTATCTTTTAGATCAAGTGACAATAAAAAAATAAAAGATTTTATTTTTCCCTCATTTATTTGTTCTGACCCGTTTGCTTTCTTCATGTAGCTCCAAGTTGCTGAACTATATTATTTTCTTTCTCCCTGCAGAATTTCTTTTAACATTTCTTCCTGATTAGTTCTGCTTTAAGTGAATTTCCTCAGTTTTTTTTTTTTTTTCCTTTTTGTCTTTTTTCGTGTCCGACAACGGATTGCAACCCTCAGTGTCGCGCCCGGACCGGACCGGGACCGGCAACGGGATCGCAACCCTCGGTGTTGCGCCCGCACCTCGCTCAGCCAGTGAGCGGGAACCAGTCTGTACGTGGGATCCGAACCCTCGGCGGGAGCGCCACCGCACTCCCAAGCGGCGCACTGTAGCAGTGCGCCACCGGGCCGGCCCCGAATTTCCTCAGTTTTTAAGAACATCTTTATTTCTCCTTTTCATTGGATGTAAAATTCTAGGTTGGTTTTTTTTTTTTTTCTTTCAACACTAAATATTTCACTCCACTCTCTTGTTTGCATGCTTTCCAATGAGAAGTTTGCTGTAATTGTTACCTTTGTTTCTCCTAAGTTGTTTTTTTCCCCCTCTGACTTCTTTCAAGATTTTCTGTCTGTCTTTGGTTTCTGCAATTTGAATATGATATACCTTAGGTGCAGGTTTTTTGATATTTATCCTGCTCGGTGTTCTCTGTGCTTCCTAGATCTGTGGTTTGGTGTCTGTCATTAATTTTGGAAAATTCTTGGCCATTGTTACTTCAAATGATGGCTGTCTCTTTTCTTTCTGTTATTCCAATTATGCAGATCTCATACCTTTTGGAATTGTTCCACAGTTTTTAGATCTTCTGTCCTTTGCTCTCTTTGCTTTTGAGTTTGGAAAGTTTTTATTAATCTTTCTTCAAGCTCATTCATTCTTTCCTTGGCTGTGTCCTGTCTACTCTTGAGCCCATCCAAGGCAATCTTCATTTTTATATTTTTGTTTGTTTGTAGCATTTTTTAATTCTTCCTTAGAGTTTCCATCTCTGTTTATATTACTTATCTGTTCTTGCACATTGTTAGCTTTTTTTTTACAGTCCTTAACCTATTAATCATAGTTATTTTAAGTTCCCTGTCTGATAATTCCAAGATTTATATGAGTTCCATTCTGATGCTTACTTTATCTCTTCAGATTGTGTCTTTTCTTGCCTATTAGCATGCATTGTAATTTTTTTTTTGGTCAAAAGCCAGACATAATTTAGGTAATAGGAATTGAGGAAATAGTCCTTTAGTGTGAGTTTTGTGCTGTTCTGGCTAGGACATGGGCTGTGTTTAATGTTTAAACACAGGTGTAGGTAGCAGCTGTAGGTGCCAGAGGTCTCAAATTCCTCAGGTGTTCTCATTTTGGTCTCCCCTTTTGTCTCTGGGCTTCTTTAAGAACTCCTTCTCAGATAGAGACTGAGTCTTGTAGGCTTTTCTGCTGCCATCCACTGTCCTTATTTTGGAGCCTGTTGGTGTGGTGGTCAGGTGTGGGGGAAGAGAAACGTTCTATAATGCTATCAGAAAACCTCAGTCTTCAGTGTCCTTGGGCTGTGACCTTTGCAAGTGTTTCCTAGTACCCCCACATCCTTATATGAGACAGTAAAGCCAGAAGGACTCTCTGGAATCCCCTATCTCTCTTTAGATTTTGGGGTTGTGGTTTGACCTATGACCTCAGTTCTCTCATGAGTCCAGGAAACATCATTGAGTTTTGGTTTATTCAGCTTTTTTTTTGGTATGGATGGGAATGATGACTTCCAAGCTCTTGCATGTTGGGGCTGGAACTGCAAGTCCCCTTGTGGCTTTTGGGTTACTGCCCTATCAGCCTTCCCACCAGTTGGAGGGCTGGGTTGGTCCTGTTGGCATAAAGTATCCTGACCTTTGCAAGAGCACCTAAGTCTTGAAGAGAAAAATCACCACTCTTTCTGGTCAAAAATCACCACTTCTGTGTTGTGACTGCTCTTAGTTAACTGTACTCTCTCCCTGCTTCTCTCTTTTCATGTTGTCTAAAGTCCCCAGGGTTTTTCTTTTTACCAAGCAAGATATAGGTTCTACAGCAGATCTCTTAATTTCTTGGAAGTGTATGTGAACATGGAATGGGTGGGGGTCTTTTTTCTAATCTTCATCAGCCTCTCCATCACTGCCCACCCCCCAATCTTGGAATCATTGATAGGCAAACATGTTGTTTGATCAGTATTATGCAAATGCAGCTTTCACAGAGCTCCTCTAAGCTGCTGCTCAGAGTCTGCGCTAAAGTGGCAGGCCGTTTATCCCTGCATACACCCTTCTGGCCCCCTCAGTCATCTGGAACTCAGGAGCAAACCAGGGAGGAGACAGGAATTCTGAGCAGCCTAAGGAAGAATTGCTTTAAAAACTCACGTGCCATTTCTTCTTTCCTCCCCTCAGGCCATCAAGTGGGGCAGATCAAGATTATAGGGGTGGGGTGTATAGACTGTTGGAGCCTGGACAGGGTGAGGAGGGTCTCTGCTGGGGTGGGGGATATTGGTAGTAATAGGAGGTTTAATCAGGTAAGTAAACATATTAAGGATGTTGGAGGCCAGGTTTCTCAGTGTTGGAGAGGGGAGGAGTTGCAAACATGGAAAGAAACGAGAATGACCGCCATGGTGTTGGATCACGGTTGGAGGTATTGGTGTGCACTCGCAGTTTTCTATATGTAAATTATGTATAAAAAACCAAATACATGTAAATGTATCAACAAATAATTGTGTGCATGTGTGTGCATAAATATATACATACACACACATACACACAGACATATATTCCCTAGCTCTGTCCTCTAAAGGGTCCTGGGGGTACCCCATTAGCAGCGAGAACACTTCCCACATATTGGCTTTTTCTTCTTTTCCTTTCTTTGGTGACTGGCAGTACAGGGATCAGACCTGGACCGTGGTGTTATCAGCACCACGCTCTGACCAACTGAGCTGACTGGCCAGCCCCACACATACTGGCTTTTATATACCATTTCTCACTAGAGGAGCTGGGCTTCTTGCAGAACTGGCCAATTCCAGAGCTGGAGCAGGAGGAATACAGATGGAGTTGGAATATTTTACTATGCCAGAAATGAAGAGTGATGGGGACATGTCCAAAGGACACAGAAACCAGCTTGGAGGGCTTCCCACTGGCTGAACCTGGGATAATTTGAGCATCAAAATAAATATGGATAGTAATGGATCCATTGAATAAAGTAGGAAAACATGAAACCACACTGATATAAATAAGTGAATAAATGGAATATTTGATAGGAGCGGGAAATGTGCACAGTTTTACAGTACTTTGCCACAGAATCCTGGTTCATTACAAAGGGAAAGAGGAATAACTTTATAGTACAGAAGCCTGGCAACCACTGTCCTAGTCAGGCGGTCAAAGCGAACATTACCAGGAATTGGGCAAATCGGAGTCGCCCACCACCTTTATGTGGAATTGGGCAAATCGGAGTCGCCCACCACCTTTATGTGGAATTGGGCAAATCGGAGTCGCCCACCACCTTTATGTGGTGTGATGAAAAGCAGACAGCTGCGCTTCTCTGATTCTCCCCAACAATGTACAGCCTGAATCTAATCATGACAAGACATCAGACAAAGACAGACTTTGGGACATGCTACAGATTAACTGGCCTGTCATCCTCAGAAGTCATGGAAGTCGGGAAGACTTCTCCAGAACCATGTAGTCCAAAGAGATGTAACAACTAAATGTGGTCTTGAAATGGATCCTGAAAAAAGGACATTGCTGGGATGTTTGGCAGCATTTGAATGGGATCTGAGGATTGTATCAGTGTTGATGTTCTCAGTCTGATGGTTGTACACAGCATACATGGGGATATCTGGGGTGATGGGGTATGAGGTCAGTAACTCACTCCCTCATGATTCAACTTTTCTTTACATTTGAGGTGGTTAATAAACCACAAACATATACAAGGGGCCTTCAAAAAATTCATGGGAAGGTTCATATTGTCTTTTCATTCTACCTTCCCAGGAAGCTTTTGGAATCCCCTCAAGCACATTACTTGCTCGGGCACCATGTGGCTTGTATTGATTGGGGGCTTATTTGTTAGGGATTGTGTGAAGAGGGGGAGGGGCTTACTCATCTCAGCCATCCTGATTCCCAGGCAGTGGGAGGTTGGGGAGGGGCCTTTTTTTCTTTTTTGCCTGCATTGATTCCTGACACTGCCCCATCACTGCAGAACGCTGACGCTTCACACACAAGTGTGCTTTGTGGTGTGTGCGGGACTTTGGTGCGTGTTCTTGTGGAGTAGGAGAGAGCCCTTCTGGAGTAGGAGAGATCGTGATACCTTACTTGAGATGAGGATTATGGTGATGAAATAGTAACGGCAGCGAGCAATACCTCCATAGTCCTTCTTAAGGGCCAGGCATGGTCTAAGCACTTGGAATGTTGGATATGTTAACCAGTTTAATTCTCCTAATTACCCTATGGGGTAGGTGTACTTGATAATTTTATTTTACAAATGAGGAAACCAGGGCAAAGAGAAGTTAAGTAATTTGCTTAAGGCCACACACAACTAGGAAGTGGTGGAGCCTGAGTTCATATTTATTTATTTACTGAGTTGAGTTGCCTTAGCTAGCTAGGTAGGGGACTGTTCCAACGCCCCTCATTCACCCATTCATTGGTTCAACAGTTTGGTGCTGAGTGCCTGTAAACACCAGCCCCTTTCCAGATGCTGGGGAAATGGGTACAAGGCAGCCAGAGCCCTTGACCTCATGGAGTTCGAAAAATGACCTGAGATGCGCTGCCCCAGTGTAGAGTCCAGACAGAGACCTCACTCTGCCTCGCATGCACAGGGAGCATGCATCTTGGCTGGCCAGCCTGGTCAGACAGACCTCACTCTGCCTCGTGTGCATAGGGAGCATGCATGTTGGCTGGCCGGACTGGTCAGACAGTGACCTCTCTCTGCCTCGTGTGCACAGGGAGCATGCATGTTGGCTGGCTGGACTGGTCAGACAGTGACCTCTCTCTGCCTCGTGTGCACAGGGAGCATGCATGTTGGCTGGCCGGACTGGTCAGACAGTGACCTCTCTCTGCCTCGTGTGCACAGGGAGCATGCATGTTGGCTGGCTGGACTGGTCAGACAGTGACCTCTCTCTGCCTCGTGTGCACAGGGAGCATGCATGTTGGCTGGCCGGACTGGTCAGACAGTGACCTCTCTCTGCCTCGTGTGCACAGGGAGCATGCATGTTGGCTGGCTGGACTGGTCAGACAGTGACCTCTCTCTGCCTCGTGTGCACAGGGAGCATGCATGTTGGCTGGCCGGACTGGTCAGACAGTGACCTCTCTCTGCCTCGTGTGCACAGGGAGCGTGCATGTTGGCTGGCTGGACTGGTCAGTCCCTGTGCTCATGGTTGCACTTTTTTCTCTTTTCTTTTGAAGGTCGCCTGGTGGGTGCTCTGGATGCAGTGTTGGATTCCAATGCACGGGTCGCTCCGTTTCGAATTCTGCTTCAAGTACCTGGGTCCCAGGTTTATTCTCCCATAGCATGTGGTGAGTTACTGAATGGATCAGACGTTTACTGGGCCGTAGCCACTGGTGAGTTTTGTTCTAGTTGGAATATTCCAAACCTTAAGAGCTAAGCATGCTGAATATCTGCATGCTGGTTGAAGCTTGAAGGTAACCCCTTGAGAACCTCATTTGCTTTTAGGAACTTTCTTTTCTCTCTTCTCTTTCATTCCTTTTCTCCACCCTCCTCTGTCTCTCCCTCCCTTTCTCTCTCTCTCCCTCTCTCTCCCTTCTTCCTTTCTTTTTTTAACCATCACAAACACAGAAAGGCTATAAGCTTGGGCACGCCAGGCTTTTGAGTGGTGTGTTCTGGGGTGTTGTATGTTGTTGAGTGTGAATCGAGTCCTTCTCTTCTTAACCTAGTTTTCTGACCTAACAAATGTGTTCCTGGTGTGTACACATATTGCGATGGCATGGGGCAGAGTCCAAGACTGTGTCTGACTTAGGGCAGTCTTCACCCCTCGTTCCACGTTTGCACTGAGAGAATGGGTCGCTGGGTTGCTGGGTGCTAAGGGAATTTAGAAATCACCTACTCACTTTCTCCATCTGAGGTTGCCAGTCCTTCTGTGGGCATGACCTGGCGTTCTGTCTGACCACTCAGTCCCTCTGGGGCTGGGAGTTGTTACATCCTGAGAAGCCCCTTCTATTAAAAAACAAAACCAAGGGCCGGCCCGGTGGCGCACTGCTACAGTGCGCCGCTTGGGAGCATGGTGGCGCTCCCGCTGAGGGTTCGGATCCCACATACAGACCGGTTCCTGCTCACTGGCTGAGCGAGGTGCAGGTGCGACACCAAGGGTTGTGATCCCGTTGCTGGTCCCGGTCCAGTAGGGGCGCGACACTGAGGGTTGCGATCCGTTGCCGGACACGAAAAAAGACAAAAAGGAAAAAAAAAACAAAACCAAAAGGTCTCTTTTTTTTTATCATACAAGTAATAAATATTCACCTTCCAGAAATTAAAAATTAGATAAGAAAGAAGGGAAAAAAATAATCCATAACTTTTTATCCAGTGTTAATCTTTTGTCTACGTATATGCATATATACATAGAAGTTTTTAGTTTTGCTTTTCCTTTTAACATTTTATTAGCCACCATAAACTTCAACGTCACCTCATGATCTCTAGCAACATTGGAGTTTTTTCCTCCCTGGAAAAATACAGAAAGTACAAAGAAGAGAATTCTCGTCTGTATCTCACCAACTAGTACCAACCACTGTTAACATCTTGGCATACCTTTTCCCACTCCATTTTGTTTTGTTTTGTTTTGTTTTTTAATTAAGACAAATCATTCTGTATTTGCTTAAAATGATGAAAATGATATGTTCTTCATATAAAGAAATCAAATAACACTGAAAAGTACAAAGAAGAAAATATCTATCACCCCAAATCCTAGCCGCCCTAAGTAACCTCTAGTTACAGAAGGTGACATTATCCCAGACGACTTTGCATTTAGACGGGTGCAAGGATAGAATGAAGATGAATCTGAGTACTTTTTTAAAAATGCAGCTTGTCCATCAATGCTATTTTATCATAAAGTATTAAGTTTACTTAATTTCAATAAAAGGAAAGAAATAGAAGTGAAACCAAAGAAATGTAAAACTTTAAGTAAGAGTTTAGCACAAGAGATTATTTTCTAACAGGTTCGGGTAAGGTTAAGGGAAGAGATTTTTGAAAGCATTACAAGGTTAACATTGTGGCTTTTGAAAACAATGTTTCAGTCCTGACAATGTTTGTCCAGTCCCCACCCTACAGGACAAGGCTGCCAGCAACTCCTATTCTTCCCCTGCTTCCTCAATTTCTCATTTTAGAAAAGTTTTATTATTAATTTTACATTGTGGTTCCCATTCTGTCCTGTAACCACACTTGCTGTCATTGTCTGACTCAAAGTTCTCTATTTAAATTGATTTACTGTTTCTACATGGGTATGGCTTTCCCAGTCTAGAAACTTTTATTTTGGTTCTTCTCTTAATTGGCTGGAGTCCTGTTTTCTTCCCCCAGCAATGTCCTGTAAGTTTCTGAATGTTTTCACCTTTGCAAATGTTTGGCCTTTGCTTTTGGACTCGAGTGACAACGTGGCTGGGTATGGTAGTCCTAGGCCACACTTTAGAACTTGGTGGCTGTTGTTCCAGGGTCTTGTAGTATTCGATATGACAGTAGGGGAAGTCTCAGCTGGCCTGATATTTTTTTCTTCCTTTTGTGAGTGGTGTGCTTTTTTGTGCATAGGACTCTTTCTTTATCATTGGAGTTTGGTAACTTGATTAGCCTGTTGCTTCTGTGAGCACAATACATTAAATTTTTCTGGAACACAGTGTGCTTTTGCAATCGGCAGATTGGTTTCTTTAATCATTCGTGCTTTTTTGTGCATAGCACTCTTTCTTTATCATTGGAGTTTGGTAACTTGATTAGCCTGTTGCTTCTGTGAGCACAATGCATTAAATTTTTCTGGAACACAGTGTGCTTTTGCAATCGGCAGATTGGTTTCTTTAATCATTTCAGGGACTCTTCTTCTATGATTCTGTGCACGTATTATATTTAGATTCTCCACTTCAAGGACACTTGATGCTGGCTAGCCGTAGTTTGCTTTTCATCTCGGTTTTCCTTTATCTGTCTTTTTCTTCTGTACTCTCCGTTCTGTTCATAACTCTTTCTTCAGAGATAATAATTCCATTTTCAGCGGTATATTCCATAGCTTGCTGCTTTTAACTTATTTAGTGACTTTGTTATCTTGTTTTGATCCTTAGTTTATGTTCTTAGGTCCACAGTCTCCCCTTTCATCTCTGTTATTTCATCATCTCATCTGTGAGCTATTGTTTTATTGAATTCATGTTCTTGTAATAAGGTTTTGGAGCATGAAGCATTCGTGAGAATTTCCTTTTCTTCCTGAGTGTTCGTTTCCTCCTAGGACAGCATCTCTGTCTCTGGAGCCCTCTGTTCCTGTCTATTTTCTTTTGCTTTGGAGTGTTTGCAGGGCTTCTGTGCTGTTTCTCCCCATCTTACCCATGGACGGGCATTGTTATCCTGTACATTATATTGGCACTAATGTCAGAGGAGCGGGTCTGGCAGGCCAGATTGCCTGCCCTGAAGTTTGTGCCAGCATCCCTGGCTCCCCACCTGCCAGCAGCGTAGTGGTCCTGAGCAGATTTAATTCCAAGACCTTCTCTCTCCTGAGCCAGGGTCTGTCTCCTTTAGTTTTCACTCAGCTAGATTTTCACCATGGGCCTGATGCAGGCCAGGTCTGCAGAAAATGCTCCATTTTCTGCTGTCATCTTACCCACAGAAGGTCCCCTGAGTAAGAAATTGTTGTTTTCAGTGCACTTTTCTTGGGTTAAAGCAGAGAGAATTTTATTTCTGTCTTGGGCCTGTGGTATCAATTTAGATACTTCGGCCTCTTCTGGGAGTTACTTGGGCATCGTGGTCTGTGTTATCGACTCACCATAGTTAATATTTTATTGTGTCTTGAGCATTGAGAGGGGGTCCCTGCCCAGAGTTTGAAGTCTCAGCTAAAGCACAAACAAGAACCGTAGGAAGGGCCTGGGCAGCACCAGGACGTGGGTAGAGACAGGAAGAGTAGCCTGCATGAGTGACTTCTGTCTTCACGTCATTTGGGCTGTTTGAATGGCAGGAGGGGGAGACATAGGAGAACCTTCGAAGATACGTTTTGTTTTCTTTCTTTCTTTTTTTTATTTGCAGAGGTGGAAGTGATAGATCATTTGGGTGAACTATACTATTATTTGGCAAATGAGGCCTGTCGATGACTGGGGGTAGAAGGAGAGATAAGATGCTGCTATTATTATTATTGTTAACTTAACATGGACCAAAGAATCCCAAGACTTTGTAAAGATTACCGGCTTCTGTGCATAAAGACTGATTGCGAGAGAGTGGTTGTGAGTGGTTTGGGAGGCTGTGGACAGAGGAGCATGCCCTGCCATTCAGTTTAGAGCTCCCGTGTCCCCTCCCCGGCATGCACTCATCACTACTGTCATTTCCCTTGGTTTTTGCCTGCCTCCCAAATGGAAGTGAACGTTCTGTGAGTCCTGCTTGCCACTGACCATCCAGGGCCCAGGACAGAACCCGGCCTGTGTAGTGGGCACTCAATAAATCGTGGTGGGTGATAAACAGGAAAGTACGGAAAAGAGGGTGATGAGGCTCAGCAGAAGAGACTCCTGTATGTTGAGAGGGAAGGTGGGCCACATAATTACAGAGGAGACTCTTTGGGCCCTTCCTGATAAGCCAGGGCAAGGACACTCCCGGGCAGGGTGTGGGCCTGCTCATGACTGCTGAGTGATCGAAGAATTTGCAAAACGGGTCATTTTTTTTTCTTTCAAAAAAGTGTTTATTGTTTTAAAATATGCATATTTAATGTCTTAACCATTTTTAGGTGTGCACTTTCGTGACATTCACAGTAACATGCAACCAGCACCACCATCCATCCACAGGACATTTTTCATCTCCTGAAACTGAGACTGTCCTCATTAAACACTAATTCCCTACTCCTCTCTCCCCTGGCCCCAGGCAACCAGCATTCCACTTTCTGTCTCTATGAATTTGACTACTCTAGGGACTTTGCGCTAGTGGAATCATTTAGTATTTGTTTTGCGACTGGCTTATTTTATAAGCATAATGTCCTCAGGGTTCATCCATGGTGCAGCATGTGCCAGAATTTCCTTCCTTTTTAAGGCTGAAATGATATTCCATTGTATGTCTGCTTTCTTTTTTTTTTTTTTTTTTTTCTTTTGTCTTTTTCCG